GAAATTAAATCCTCAAGGTTTAGAACTCATCGAAAATTATGAAAAGGTTTGGAAACAAATTATTAATAAATATTTTTATAAATTTTTTAAATTTTAGTTTTTAGAATTTGACAGACACTGATGATGGAAAAGAGATTATTTTAACAAATGAGCAAGGTAAAGGTTTTTTTTAAGTAAGACTCGTAAAACAGTGGAATTGGAAGACGACTTTTACATTCAAGTTATAATTATAAAACGATTGGTTAAACGCCGTCTTTCAATTCCACATTTCTATAGTTATCATTTTATGATATTTGTTTACGTTTTTCAAATTTGTTTCTTTAGATAATTACTTCTCAAACCCCTTTTAAAATAAGAACAGAGAAGAATGACCAAAATTAAGAAAGAATAATTCAAATATTAGTTTTATCATTTTATAGTAACAGTAGCACAACATTTTCTTCTTTCTTGAAACCAGGATCAAACTCAAAACTAAGATCAAACTCAAAACCTATATTAAACTCAAACCAAAGATCAAACTCAAAATCGAGATCAAACTCAAGATCGAGATCAAACTCAAAAAATAAATATAAGTAACAAAACAATAACATTTTCGTCGTTTTATTCTTTTATATTAAACGTGTAATAAAAGACTGCAGCAAATTGTTGTGAATGGATTTATTGAAATAAAATATAATAAAACATAATTAAATACTAAAAAATCTAAAATTTTACCAAATATCCAGATAATCAGTGTACATTAATTAAATTAGTTGGAGATCGCACTGAATGTTTGAATCCACAAAATGTGCATTATTTTTATTTACTTTCTTGCGAACAAGTTTTTCTTGTAGATTAACCCTAACCTGGGGTACTTGAAAACCAGGATATGCTGGGGGGGGGGGTCAATTTGCCCCCCCCCCCTCTAAATCCCATGTTTGATGTCCAAATATGACAAATGATACATCATTGGAAAGCTCTTGTGCTCTACTTTTAGAATCTGCAAATTTGCAAAAATTGAATGGTTTATTGCAAAATCCAGTTATATAGTTAAAAATGTTTGCAAAAAAAAATTTGTCCAAAAAATGAAAAGTTATACATTTTTGAAAAGCCCTTGACCATGCCATTTCAAATATGCAAAAATTTTTGCAAAATTTTAAATAACCTGATTTTTAATCAAGAAAAACTTAAAATGTGCAAATTTCCTTTGACAGGTTGTTTGCAAAAAATTTGCAATTTTTTTTGCAAAACTTGTGCAATCCATTTCCTTATGCCAAAGGCTTTCCAAAAAGCTAAATTTTATCAAAATCTGACAAGTGGAAGTGGGTCAAAACAAAGATTTAGTTTGTTAAAGGAAAAACAGTCATTCAGGCAGTGTGCCTGAGGACTCAGGCAGTTAGTATTAAAGCCCGGTTTTAGGCCTAAAGGGAGGGCTTTGGGTATGTAAGAAAAGTCAGAAAATTTCAACACCCTCAGACCAATACTTTTTGAGTTATGTAAAAAAAACTACAGGGGGGGGGTCAAATTGACCCCCCCCCTAGCAGGAATAGGGTTTAGTTCTTATTGTTAGATAAGAAGGCTCGACCTTTTTAAGGGGTTTAAACCCCCTAAATCACTGCTTTTGGGGGATATCTTAGAAAATTTCATTAGTTTTTGTGACAAAATGTTCAAGTCGTCTTTTAATTCCCATTCGACTTTCCTGTACATCAGATTTGTGTACTGTATGTCGTCTTCACATGTTGTGAATCCCCCTGATAATATTGAATAAAGGTTGAAAATGTATTATGTTCAGATGTAAAACCTATCTTTATTTTATTGTCAGAAGAATATGGTTAGGAGGAGGGAGGGGTAAGAAGATACCCTTTTTTATCTCTTGGCTTTTACGCTGAAAATTCATTCAAAACTTTTAATTTTTTCACATCCTTCACTCAATCTTACAATTCGAACGGTTTATCGACCTATCAATACCGAATACGTCGACACACTAAAGTAGATATTTCTCATAAGTTTTATATCTTAAATGTTTACAACCATAGCTTATCTTATAGAAAAGCTCTTTTGTGAAGAACAAATTTGCTTTCCTCTTATTTGTGCAAAGTACAAACAATTAAAACCAGGGGAGCTACTCGAGGTCCTGCAAAGTTGTAGCAATAATATCGCATAAACTTGAGTTCCATCTATCCGTCTAGTTCACAGTGTCGAAGACTGGAAAGCCAGGAATACTGAAGACTATTTTGAGAAGTAAACAGAAAAAAAACTCTTCCACAATGGACTCATGATGTTTTACAGAGAGGTTTATCAAGAATATGCTGAACTGCTATAGTTTAATTCCCAATAGAACTTGAACAAATACAATAATGAACAAATGACGGAGATAGCTTGTAAATGATGAAATAAGGTTTATGGCTTTTAAAAATGCAAAAATACTGTCTGAAACAAATTCAAAAGTTCTGAAAATCCACCAACTAAAAAAGAAAATTCGCAAAATTATGAGTATTACGATCATCAAAGAAAAATTGCGACTTGGAAAGCAACGATTTTTTGCACTTAAAAGTTACTAGTACATGCAGATTGTAGATGATTATATACAGCAGTTACAAGTATGTAAATATAAGATAGCTCCTGAATGGTTGGAAAGCAATGAAATTATATTTACGAGGCCGTTTATAAAATAGTAAACTCACACAAGACTCAATCCAAGAGAGCACTTTTAACCAGGGTTGCTAAAGTCCTACCTTACTTTCTTGTAATATTTCCAGCTCAAAATGACATAATATTAAACTTATTACGAAAACAAACATTACATAATTTTTTTACATACTTTTTTTAAATTGTTGTTTAAAATTAAACCTTAGATCAGCGTGAACCACAGGGTGTACAGAAAAAAAACTCTTCAAGATACTAGAGCTCTCATTTATATTCCATATTTTGCAGAAGAGTGGCGTGCACTATGTATATTCTATATACTTTGGAAAACATAACCTTGGTTCAGCGTGAACTATGTATATTATATATACTTTGGAAAACATAACCTTGGTTCAGCGTGAACTATGTATATATACTTTGGAAAACATAACCTTGGTTAAGCGTGAACTATGTATATTCTATATACTTTGGAAAACATTACCTTGGTTTAGCGTGAACTTTGTATATTGTGTATTTTATATACTTTGGAAATTATTACCTTGGTTAGCGTGAACTATGTATATTCTATATACTTTGGGAAACATTACCTTGGTTTAGTGTGAACTATGTATATATATTGTATATTCTATAGAAAACTTAACTTGAGTTTAGCGTGAATTATGTATTCTATACATATTCTGTATATTCTATATTTTATAGAAAACTTAACTTGAGTTTAGCGTGAACTATGTATACTCTATACTTTATAGAAAACTTAATCAGAGTTTAGCGTGCACTATGTGTATTTATATTATAAAACTTAACTTGAGTTTAGCGTGAATTATGTATATTCTATATTCTTTAGCATAATTTAACCTGAGTTTAGCGTGAANCTATATATAAATATGAGCAGAGTTTAATTAAACCGGGGAGTGGCACGGTGGACTAAGCCAGTGGGGTCGGTCAAATAGGAAGGATTAGGCAGGGTACTGAAAAGTCTGAACGCGCCATGGGAGTTGTCACAGTTAGCCCTCCGACGGGACTATGCCAAGAAAATTGAACCCTGTCGTATGTTAGTCTGGTTATGGCAACGTACTATACCATAGGATGGGGTCAGTACACGCTGTTATCTGGCAGGTCGGTACAAACTGGACAGGTCCTGTTCGAAGTCAAATTTACTACGGCCCAGAGTGAATTAAAAAAAAACACTAAAGGTGAATTTTGCTCCGGTGCTCCAACATATGAAAATTTTACATATCTAAGCGTTTATAATTCCCAGGCTTAGCCGCAGAATTACTTGTAAAGGTGATATTAAGTCATTGTCAGATTTACTAGGACTGTACGGGTAACTTTAGTTGACCTTAGGCCGAATTTAAAGAATTTGAGCGGCGGCTGAAATTTAAGCCACGGCTTAAATATGGTTGGTTCCACCACTTAAAATTGTATCAAATGTTCCTAGATTTAAGTCGGCGCTTAATTTAAACTGGGTTTTGGGCGGATTTAAGCCGCGGCTCAAATTCTTTTAATTCAGCCTCTAATAAATGGAAAGAATATTGTTCATTCTTCTATAGGTTTAAACATGTTTACTTCTGATAATTCCTTAATGTTTTCCCGCAGTAAAAATAATCAAAGTGACACAATTGTAAACAATAAACAATAATAATCATAAACAAGGATATCAAATTCAAACTTGAACAGACAAAGCTTTCAAGGGTACCGTTGTTAATCAGGCATTGCCATCTTTGCATAGAGGGTCACTTAACAATTGCGCTCACAGTCCTTTTAAGACTTTGATTCTTTGAGTTAAGTTGTTCAGCCGCTGAATTCCTAGGCTCAGCCAGATATCCTACACAAAAGTGTTTGCCTCTCATTTCTCCAATTTTATTGTTTTTGACAGATGATTTATTCCCTTCTCCGCTGGGAGTGTTCAAATCTGCTGGTTCATCGTTTAAACTAGATATTTGACACAAATCATCCTTCAATCAATATTCAGGCTTTTTTGGCTTGATAAAAAATTATGCTTTTTTCACCCAGTTGACGTTTTTTATTTACAAATCTTAAAGTTTTAATTGAATTAGAGTTTCATCGGTTTATTCCATAATTTTAATAAGAACAACAGTTTTTCCATTTTTTCTATTTATCGACAATTTCAATTTTATTGAAGTATTTTTAAACACATGCTTCCTCTATACCAGCAGAATTAATCTAAAGGTGTTCCCAAAGTTAATATAATAAAAATATAATGATAAATAAAAAAAAAAATTCATTTTGATTTGCACGGATTAAAATGCTGAAAGGTTATATTATTGGCAAACATTTTTTTGAAACCTCCATAAAATGCTGATATTGACATGTATCGATTTTATGTTTGATATAAAACTAGAGAAAATGTTACCCACAGATTAGTTTTTACGAGATTATTTTTTCAGACTCTACAGAAAATAATGTAAATAAAAACAACACAGTCTACAGAGCATGTTTGGTAATTGTGTAAATTATTAAAGCTGAGAATATTTTCTTTTCTTTTATTTTTTTAATTTTAGTTATTTCTAATAATAGACAGAATGATTGTTGCCTTGATCTTTCGTTTAATAATAAAATTCATCTGAGGATTTTTTGTTGACCTACAAATATGTTGCAAGAATTTTCAGAAATAAATTATTAGAAAAAAAGCCTTTAAAATTTTAAAGAATATTGAGTTAGAGAATATTGTTTTCATTTTTGTATCATTATACTTTTAATTGTTAAAACTGAGAATATTTACTTTTCTTTTATTTTTTATTTTTAGTTATTTTTAATAAAAAGCAGAATGATTGTCGCCTTGTTCTTTCTTTTAGTTAGAAATGCATCTGAGGATTTTTTTTGGTATTGCAAGAATTTTAAAAGGTTAAAGAATTTTAAGTTTCAGAATTTTTTTTTCAATTTTGTATCAATATAAATTTTAATTTTAATAATTACAACTTGTGAATATTAGATGATTAATATATTCATAAAAAAATGGCGCCAAAAGGGATGTCCTCAAAAATGTGCCAACAATAGTTCACTACATCTACACTACATAAAATGGCGCCAAATTGTTAACGTCATTAAGTTTGTATTTTTTTGTATTTGTATGAATTTTTGTAGATTTCCGAGTATTGTGGATGTTGTGCCAGGTTTGCTGGGCGCTTCCATTAGGTAAATTGCACTAGAGCACACGCAAAACATTCTTACCTTGACAGACAAATCAATTCTTAGATCTTGTATAAGCTAACTCAACTTTAAATGATATCACTGGGACAAGAAATAAGAAATTCTTCAAAAAATAATTTTTTTTATCAATTTACTGGTACTTAAAACTTATTACCACATGTGGTTATGCAAAAAATGTTGGGGTTTTATCCAAATCAAATGAAATCACCCGAAAAATCTGGAAAATGAATCTAAAGTTCTAATATACTATATGCAAAGTTCCAGTGCAATGTTTTTTCGTTTTCCTTTCTGAATGCTACAAGAGATCTTATTTTATTATACAGCATATAAAGTACATAAAGCACTGTAAACTCCGGTACATTTCATGTGCCGAGCCGACTTTTAAGCTGCTAGAGCAAGCAGTACAGTACGCATGCAGCTCTTATAAGACTGCCCGGGACATTACCCCATATGAATCAGCCCTACTATAGAGAGATTCTTAAAGTTTAAAAACAATTTTGCCTCTCTTCACTTAAATTTTCAGTCTGAGTAAAAACCTATCAAATGTTCTTTTTTTGAAAACCAGAAAACTCTGTAATAGGAAAACGACATTTATGCTCAAGTAATGACGACATGTAGTGCGAAAAACATGGGATTCAGCAATAATGCAGTGTAAACAGTGTAAACATTTTTTGCCTTTAACAACAATATATAGTATTGCTATAATGTCGTATTCCTATCCCAGAGTTTTCTGCTTTTCACTGTACAAAAAAACTTGAGAGCCGCTGGGAAAAAGTGATTAAGAAGTTTTAAATTCGTTTTGAATTAAAATATGTTAAATTTCTAATTTAGATTTGAAAGATTCTGCGAATGATCTTCATGATTATGAGGAAAATCCAGGTAAAATATGAAAATTTATTGAAACCTAATTATTTCAAAGAATACTGTTGAAAATATCAAGAATGTATATATGATCTGTCTCAAAATATTGTTTAGGATTAAAATTTTTGAATTTGGGACAAAACAAAATCATTGATTGATGATATTTGATCTATTTTAAAATATTGTTTAAAAAAATAATTTTTGCACGGAAAATTTCATCATTTATAGGATTTATGATTTATTTAAAGTTTTTTTTATCAGTCCAAGAACTTGAGAGGTTGAAGCGAGGGCCCCCAATGTTTGATCTACCCCGAACATGGAGGGTTAAAAAACTGGATAATTCAATCAATCAGGATACTCAAGACCTGCCTCCTCAGCCTGCAGGTTCAGATTATATCTATATTTTTTTAAAAGTTTTAATCAAAACTATTTTTTCAAATAACTAACCATGGAAATCAAAAAATACTTTTAACATAAACTAAATAATGCATAAAGAACTAGGCTAGGTATGCCATAATCATACGGCGGCAACACATTTAACGCCATTTCTTGTGATTAGGCCATTAATACTGACCAGCTCCCCTTTCGACAGAATTATATGAAATTTCAAGAACAGCTTTCTTATGGGTCTTTAAGAAATTTATATTTCGAAACCTTTTTGCTAAAACGCATAGCAAAACACTTTTTTTGCCTCTTTATCGACGCATTTGGATTAACCTCTTATGGTACGTGTCTATACAGTGCACAATGTACAGCCTAGAGTGTTCAGTGTACAATTTTACGAGTAAATTGTACGGTGTGCAGTTTGAAATGTACAGTGTAAAGAGTTAAGTGTACAGTTTGCAATATACAGCAAGTGAAGTGTGCAATAAACATATATTGCAATGTTCAGTGTACAGATTGCAGTGTTCGGTGTGCAGTGTGCATTTTGAAGTGTGCAATGTGCAGTTTGCAGTGTACATTGCACAATGTACAATGCAAATTTTGCAGTATGTACACTGTGAAATGTATAGTGTGCAGTGATCAGTATGCACTTACTTGAGAGTGTGCAATATGTAGTAAGTAGTGTACAGTGTTATACATTTCACGTACTCAGTTTGCACTTTGAAGTTTAAAGTGTACAGTGCGCAGTGTGCTGTTTGCAATGTAGCAGTGTGCAGTTTGCAATGTGCAGTGTACAGTTTACTGTATACATTGCAGGGTGAAGTGTACAGTGTGCAGTATGCAGTGTGCAGTGTACCATGTGCAGTGTGCCATGTGCAGTGATCAGTGTATAGTTTACAGTGTGCAGTGTGAGGCATACAGTATACAGTGTGCAGCATACAGTGTGCACTGCATTGTGCGATGTCAAGTGTATAGTGTGCAGTATACAGTTTACACCATTGAATGTGAAGCATAAAATTTGCCATGCATTGTTTATGTTAAGTGTGTAGTGTATATTGTACAGTGTACAGTTTAAAGTTAGCAGTGTGCAGTGTGTAGTGTGTATTGTGCAGTGTGCAGTGTGCAGTGTTCAGTGTGCAGTGT